CCCCCCATCGTTCCTTCTCACAGCATCACAGGATGCTGCCCACTCCCCGTCCTGCCAGCCTTTCGGGAATTTGGAATCCCCGTCTCTCTGTCCTCTGTCCCTGGTTCTCACTACACATTCGCCTCTTTGCACCCAGCAGTGCTGTGGCTGGCTGGATGGAAAAGTAGGACAGCTGACTGGAGCCTGTTGCCTGTTAAGCCCCAGGCAGGGTGGGACAGCCCCTGGGCCAGAGCGAGCATATTAGGGGACTCTGCCCTGGCTGCTGCCACTCCGGCTGACGCCATGCGGCTCTCAGTGCGTTAGGCAGTAGTTGAGTTACCTAGGAAACATCTAGAAGGGAGCCAGGTGTGGAGACGACTGTGAGGTTTGACAGCCTGGGCCCTAGTTTCCATGTAAGCGCAAGGCAGCAGTGCAGAGGTCCCAGCAATCTGCGCCGTAGGCACTGAGGAACAAAGGGCCGGCGGGGAGCGGGAGCAGTTTGTTCACAGCAGACCTGTGGGGCTACTCTTTATTACCTTTTCTTTCTTACCACCTTAAAATGGCTGATCCCAAAATTCCTAAAATGCCAATCAAAAGAAAAGACTATCTGAGAGAAGGCTGCAATTGAAATTCCCTCCGTGGCTGAGGTTCTAGGCAAAGAAATTTGCTTGAGTTAGCCCTGTTCCCTCCAGGTTTCACTTTATAACTAAAGTTTAGTTTTAAACTTTAAAAAAGTTTTAAAAGTTTTCCTTGATTTTTATCACGAATATTTGGACATCTTGACGTGTCCCATGGCTTCTTTCCCAATGATCCCAAGGAGCACCTTGTGCCGTCAGCTTGTTTCCAAAGTTGGGCGTTGTTTCTTCGCATCCGTTTCTACCATGTGTGCCATCTGCTCTGTAAAGTCAGACGAGTGCGTGTGCTGCGTGACACCGGAGTTCCTTCTCTGCCCTGGCGGGTGGGAGAACTGGACAGATGGGCTGGGTGAAGCCCTGGAGTCCTGCTGTTGCTGTGGTTTCAGCTCGGTGCCCACAGCAGGGAGGGCAGTGTGACCCCCGCTGTGCTGCTGGAGGGAGATGAGGGGGTGGGCTGCTCCTTGAGATTCCCAGCCCTCGAGGCCCCTGGGGCAGTTCTGTGGGTCAGGGTCAAGGCAGCGACCCTGGGTCTGGTGCAAGGCTCAGGTGAACAACGTCTACTAGAGGGCGTGCTGGCGCGTCACACCCGCGGCTCCCGGGATGACGATTGGGGCAGGAGTGTCTTGTAAACCTTTTTCTGCGGCAGGTCAGCAACTGCAACCTGTACCGCCTGGGAAAGAAGAAAGGCCTGCCCAGCCGCATGGTGGTCTCCATCTTCGACCCCCCTGTGAACTGGCTCCCCCCGGGCTATGTCGTCAACCAGGACAAAAGCGGCACAGACCAGTGGGACAAAGATGACAGGGTAAGTTAGTGATAACCAGGGGTGGCTCTCTAGATGCATGAAGCCTATGAATGACTTCGGTGGGGAGTGGAGTGGGGGCAGGTCCATTCCGGTTTTCCACGCACTTTTTGACGGCCCCTGGCCTTGGAAACTCCCGGTGAATTCCTTGACGGGGCCTGGCTTTTCGCTGAAAGTTGAGTTGCTTGTGGTCTTTTCTGTACCCCAAAGCAGAAGGCAGGCATCCCTGGAGTGACAGTGAGCATGGCCGGCTGACCTGCAGCCTGTGAGTGAGATCCCTGCTTTCAGTACAGGCTGCTCTGAGCGCCTCTGGGCTTCCCTGGTTAGGACTGTGGGAGCCAGTAATGGCTGCTGTTTCCTGGAAATCATTTACATCCTGCCCTGGACTTAGGAAGACTCCCAAGCATTCGCTGCAGCGGCGGCTGCTTCACTTGGTCTCGTCTGGAAGGCCACCAGGGGGCACCTGGGAGCCCTCAGAGCACTGGCCGCCTTGGCAGTGGGCCTGACCACTCCAGGGCCGCCGAGCTGGAACGTGAAAGCTCCCTTCTCGGCAGTTTCATTTCCTGGAGATTTATTCAGCATTAGTGATGAACTGGCACGCTGTTACCTCCTTTCTGCCTCACGCCAACGGTGATAATGCTGTCTCTCTCCAGGTGACACTTTCTAGACATACTTCTCTTCTCGGCTCCTCATCCAGGGCGCCCACCGCCGCACTCTTGTTTGCAGTAGCCCGCCCCGCTCCAGGCCTGCATCCTGTTGCTTGCCCACTCCTGTGGCACGTGTGGCTCTCATGTCGTGTCCGGCATGTTACAGAGATCTAGCTCTCTGGGACAGGCCTTGAGCGAGGGGACTTAGTTGAGGTGCAGAAAACCTAAAAATGCATCAAGCTTAAGGGGAAAAATGTGTAGATTTTTAAGAGCTTTCAGAACAATTCTTCTGCCTTGTAAATATTCCTCATGACACCTTTGTCACTTTTGTGGTTAATTGTAGCTTCAAAGTGACATTTGTGTTCATTTGTTTAAGGGGCAACACAGTTATTTTTCGGTGACATGGCCGTTGGTCCGTGTAGCACACCCACGTCATTGAGACCATGGCACAGGCTCCCATTTGATGGTCACTCATCAGTTTCACCTCCAGCTGTCTGTCTGAGTGAGGCTGCACAGTGATCTGGACCTGGTGTGGACCCCACTTTGTGTACAAGCCATCCCTCTGTTTACAGCTGCGTCAGCACAGGCAGCTGCGGTGGTAAGCCGTTGGTCACGTGTTCAGAGGAAGGAACACTTCAGTCCCTGACGTTTTTATGCACACAACAGCCATAAGAATGACTGCATTTGGGGGGGGG